CAGGTCTCCCTGCAAGGTCTGCCCACGTGCACCTTCACCCTGCCCTCCCAGAGAACCACCAATGAGCAAAGCCAAATGGCTTTAGAACTGCCACGCATTTCCCCAAAATCTCCCGTTCTCCCAGACTTTGCCTCCCACCAGCTCTGATGCTGCTAAGACCTGAAATTGCCCAGGTTTAACATCTCTTCCCCAGTGCTCTGAGCTGCTGAAGTTTTTGCAGCATTTATAGGCTTGCATTGGGAGCTCTGGCTAGAGCGAAGCTGGTTTTAATTTGTTCAGGGTCCATGTCAAGCCTAAATGGTGTTATATCTGGGGAGTCTGGCTCTGCTGCATGGAGCAAGGTGCTTAATTAATGAAGGATTTAGCTTTCGGTCCAAGTAATAAATTTCATTGGATCCCACCACTTTGTGGACAATTGTCTGTATCAAAATGACCGATTAAATTGGGTAAAGGAGGTCTGACGTGAAGAGATAATGACTGAACTACCCGATTAGTGTGGAGGAGGTACAGAAAAGCAATTAAAAAGGGACATCTGAATATTCTGGGACATGGGATTGGCTAATGAGAAAACAGGAGGAAATACTGAAAAAAAAACCCCAACAAGCACTGAGTCAGGAATACAAATCCTTTAAAGAGAAACCAATGGAATGAATTAAATATCATTTTGAGATTAATAAGAGATCTCATAATAGTCTTTATTGGAGCTGACTGCTCTGATGGTCCCTTTCCATCTCAGCAGCACATTTCATTATGTTTCCAGGTTTGTTTCTTAGCCATAATGTGCTTTTCTAGGCATTTTTTTAAGGTTAATATAAATAAATCTCTGGGTTCCAAAGGTGGAATCTAATTGGAGCTTAAGAAAGAACAAGCAGAAGGGAAAAATGAGGCTGAGTACATAGGAAATTAGAAATAAGAATAAATAGCATCATGGGACTTGGGGAAAGAACAGAGATAACCGCACAGTGTGAGATGAATGCATGAAAAAGTGGAAAATTTTAGCCTGGAAGAAAGAGGAAATGGGACGTGTTGCCGCAGACGCGACAGCAGATGGCAAAATCGAGCTACAGAGACAGGGCAGAGAAACGGTGAGGTTAGAAGAGGCCATAAAGGTGATGCAGATTTGTTGCCACCAAGCAGAATAAATGCAGCCTCCACCCGTCATGATGGAGGTCCCTGCCGGGAGCTCAGCTCATGGCTGTCTCCAAGGCACGCTTTCGACGTGCTTGGCCTGGGCTCTGGCTTATGTGACCTCTAGCAACACAGGTTCTTGCAAGTCTCAGTAACACCCTGATTTTCTTTTGCTCCTGAGGCCACAGTGGCCATGCACTTCTTGGCTTTCTCCTCCCATTGGGATCTAACCCCATCTGGACGCAGCATGGCTTTGGTTCCTTTTGCTAATTTAAAACGTAATACCCAAGACTCAGCACCTCCTGCAATCACTCCGTGGGA